TTAAATGAGAACTCAAAGATACCTTTTAGCACCGTAACTTTTGCGGCCTTGTCTGGATCAGCCATACTTGGACAATTTCTTTTCCAGGCTGTTACCATGATCTCATAAGTTGAGCAACATTCTAGCGTTACGTAGTAGTTCGTCTTTGTAGTATTAAATTTCAGCCATTTTCCTTTAGTATTGTTAGTAACCACTAAGCGATACCACAAAGTAAATCGGTTGACTTTAACTTCCACTCCTCCGTTATCACCTGGAGATCTCCATGTGGCCAGAAAAGTCGTGCAGTTTATGTTCACTTTGGAAAAATGCAGCTTTGGTGGACCTGGACACCCTGCAAAATTGAAATTCAATAGGATTCCCAACTCTCATTTTCACTGAAGACCCCAAATGAATTTAACATACCTCTCTCATACTCTCCTGTAATACACGATCAAATAAATGAAACGAACTCGAGGGCAGTGATGTGTGTTTAATATATATCACTGTAATTTTTCAACTCAAGAGATGGTTTCTGTGTTTAAAAAAATGCGGAAAGTTTTTTTTTTTTATGGACAATATTCCTTTATTTGTTGATCTGTAAACAACCTGGCAATAAGAATTGCAATAAGTTCATACTTAGGTTTTCCCCACAATTGTTACCGAAAAGTTTTAAGAAGTATTTCAGTATATTGTTCAAGAGTTTCAATGACTTTGCGACGCCTTCAAGACATAGTTTTCCTTGAAACGTATAGTTCTTTTTTAAAAGAGCTCTAATTTCAATTGCAACGAAAAGTTCTCACCTAAGGAGAACATTGAAGTCATATTCAAGGAAATAGGAGCCGGCTGCTGTATTGCCACCGCTTTCTCTCGTGATTTATCTCCTTTTTTCAAAACTGTCGTCTCTACAAAAGTCATATCCTAGCTATTGCAAAACCTAATAAGAAATAAAGCTGTAAACGCACAGAAAGTCACGCCCATAGCAGGATTCAGACTCGCACTTCCTTTATCCCCTAGTCCCCAGCCGCAATTCTCTTTGAATGCATTAAAGCCTCGGACGCATAACGTAGCATTCTGCACAATCCATTGCCTAACTTTAAACCGAGGAGCACTGGGTACGACTTCATACACAGTTCTTTGCAAGAATCTCAACTCTGGTGTTAATGAGGCTAATAGGGAAGAAATTACAGCTAATTATGTACTTGAAAATTTACTAAGAGATGTATGGTTTCCCGGACACAAAGTCAGGACATGTATGTATTCTTACTAAATTTTGGAGTTTTTGAATGGCTGTATTTCTTATATTATAGGCCCGATAAACATTTCAGGGAACCTTTTTTTCGACTATGTGGGTCTCGCGTTGTTTATCCAATAATACATTACTCGCACCCACTCCCCCCTGGGTTTATTGCTCGTGTCTAAATTTGTACATCTAGTCACGACCAGTTTTCATTGATAGTTGCATTAGCGTCTGGCTAAAAGAATTTTTTGACTTGCCAAAAAGCAAACAAACAAATCCGTATAACCTATGAGTGTAGACGGAGAAGGGGAAAAATCCTCTGCTTGATTGGTCAATTTTGATTTCATGCAGTAACCATGACAAAAGTGTTCCCTGCGTGTTGGAAGTTACTCACCATTTATTAGCGTTTCTACTTGCATTCCCTCTGAAGCATTGCTTCTACCGGCCACGTTAGTTGCATACAACCAAACTGTATAATTACTTCCTCGAGACAAATTTCCTAAAATATAGTAATTGCTCTTTGCCTGAAAAGTAACTTCGATGGATGTGAAGTCTCCTTGCTTCTTTATTCTTAACACATATCCTGTAATTGGCGTAGTCTGCTTAGTGGTTGGAATATTCCATTCCACTTTGATGGCGTTGTGAGTTATATCGATATGGGTGATTATTGGTGGACTTGGCGGGCCTATAACAGAAACAACACAAGGCGACCTTTGAGATACCGTAAATCCTCTATTAAGGCCCAGGGGGCTTAATAGAGACGGTGGGCTCATTTTACGGGAGGGGGCTTATTTAATTTAGCAAAAAAGATGATATCAGTTCTCCATAAAGAACCAGAATGCAAAGTGGGAAAGCTCAAGTAAAAGCCGTTGGAGGTCATACAGCCGAGGATGCAAAACAAATCAGAACTTTCTGCTGGTAAATAAACCATCCCTGATCAGTCCACACAAAGTTTTACAGTCGCAATAGACCCCTGACAGTCGTAATTGATTTACACAGTCCTATCATTTACAGTGAATAATAATAAGAGGGAGGGGATGAGGAGGTTAAACGAGAGGGGGGCTTACTATATTAGAGAGAGGGGCCTAATACGGTAGCAGTTACTCCACCATGAATAAGTATAGTCAGAGCCAAATAAGCAGACTTAACTATTGAACTAATCGGGGGCATTTTTATCACTCTTTATACTTAGTCATATCTAATGAGTTTTCCTTAACTCAAAAATTCCCTTTTTGCTTATAGCCATTTTAAAAGAAATGAGGGTCAGGCAAGGCTACTTAGATTAGGATGACGGATGAGAAAAATACACACAAAAAATAAAACTATATATTTTATTATGCAAAAGTAGGATTTTTGAAGCAACAGCGTTATTCTGACAATATGATTCTAGCCAAGTTTAATTGCAATTATTAACCATACTTACTTATCGGTTTAAGTATAAATACTTTGCTGTCTTTACCAATGCCGTTATAAGCTGTACAAGTGTAGTTTGAAAAATCAGAATCTGCTGACGGAATAATCGTCAAAACACTTGTGTTGGTAGAAGTTTCAGACTGTTCAGCCGGCAGCTTCTCGTCAGCTCTTGTCCATGAAAAGTTAGCCGCAGGATCCCCCATTGCTGAGCATGTTAAGTTGGTGGGATTACCTTTCCATGATAGAATAGTGCTCGTGGAAGGAGTGTTGACCCTTGGGGCATCTGCAACAGTTTTTTGGTTAAAATAGCATTAAGTACGCTGAGTTAGTAGTAATGATAATAATAATTATAATGTTTTTCTTATGTTACTACAGCAGTGCGGTAGTAAGGAGTTCTCAGTGTTTATGGTCAGCGGTTGTTACCATTTTGCTCAGGACTCGTGCTAGTTGCCGCCATGTTCTTGTTTATCACATGTGTGATTTAGGTTAACAATCCATGTAATCCTTCGCTCATCCGTATCGTGTAAGGCAGACTAAGTTGTTATCTGAAGAACTGAAGAGTTAAAGATTATTTGGAAATAAAGGAAAGATCTGACGATTCAAGTTTTTCTCTTTTTCTTGTGAATAACAACGAAACTCCCTCGGATGCCAAGTACGACTTGCGAGGGCAGCCACAATAACAACTTAATGGTCCTTGGTGAAGCTTTTAACCACTGTAAAGTCATCGCTGTCACAACAAGAAGTTCATAACGAAAGCCGGACGANCCTTGGGGCATCTGCAACAGTTTTTTGGTTAAAATAGCATTAAGTACGCTGAGTTAGTAGTAATGATAATAATAATTATAATGTTTTTCTTATGTTACTACAGCAGTGCGGTAGTAAGGAGTTCTCAGTGTTTATGGTCAGCGGTTGTTACCATTTTGCTCAGGACTCGTGCTAGTTGCCGCCATGTTCTTGTTTATCACATGTGTGATTTAGGTTAACAATCCATGTAATCCTTCGCTCATCCGTATCGTGTAAGGCAGACTAAGTTGTTATCTGAAGAACTGAAGAGTTAAAGATTATTTGGAAATAAAGGAAAGATCTGACGATTCAAGTTTTTCTCTTTTTCTTGTGAATAACAACGAAACTCCCTCGGATGCCAAGTACGACTTGCGAGGGCAGCCACAATAACAACTTAATGGTCCTTGGTGAAGCTTTTAACCACTGTAAAGTCATCGCTGTCACAACAAGAAGTTCATAACGAAAGCCGGACGATCTGTGGAGGATTTGAATGGATACCAAGTGGTGTAAGCCTTTGTAGAAAGTTAGTTCTGATCGCCTTTAGTTTGGACTTAGTACTCGTCATGTCTCGAGAGTTGAGTGATATTCCTGAGGATTTAATGTCGGATGTTTGTGGTGAGGTGGTAAGTTCCGCTTCAAATAATCGTTTGGATGATGTTTGCGAGAAGTCTTCGCCTTTAATTGTTGATCTATCGGAGAATGCCGAAAACAGAGGATTTTTTCATGTGGAAAATGAACAGCATTCGTCGGAAGTTCGTATTAGGAAGCTAACCGAAAAGGGTCAATCCTATCAAAACGATTTAAAATTGAACTCTTTTAAGAATAAAAGGTCAAGTTTTACGAGAACACTGAGAAAAACACTGTTGCTTCGGGGACATTGTAATGAATTATCAAAGTGGAAGCAAGAGCTTAGTAAGGCACAGGTTCTGTGGAATTAATTTGTGGATGCATATAATGACATTTTGGAAACAGTTCAAGACGATGAATTAGCAAAGGTCAGGAACATCTGAGAGCAAGTTTGTGGTGAGTGGTCTGATTTTGAAAGGGATGTGAGGGATGAAATAAAGTATTTTGAACAAACAGTTTTGGAGTCTAATTCCGTCATTTCTAAGGGTTCAAAGAGGAGTAAAACAACCAAAAGTGTCAAGTCAAAATCAAGTTCAGACAGTGTACTTTCAACTAAAGTTGATAAATATAAGCATCTACAGGACGAAGCTGCTTTGCAGGTGAAGCTAGCCTATGTGGAACAAGAAAAGACCCTAGAAATAGAAAGGTTAAAATAGGAGCAGAAACTGGAAGAATTCAAACTTAAGAGGGAAGTTGAACTTAGTAGAGCCAAGTTAAGTGTATGCAAAGAGATTGATAATGAGCAAACACCCTCCCTTGAAGAAGATCTAGTCCATCTTCCTAGTGAGAGTAAAGGCGAAGGAGTGAAAAGATTCTTGCAATCTCTAACAGCAACTACCCGTGCGAATGAGAGTAATACATCAGTTCAGTCCCAAGTACATATATCCCAAACACCTGTTTTGACAACAACATCCACACCAAAGACTCAACATGTGGTTTGCGGGCTTCTGCTCCATCATTCTCACCGGGAGCCGTAACACAGTCAGTATTTACTGTTCGTCATTTTGAACCTGAACTTGGTCTTCCCATTCAAACAGAAGCAGCTTGTACACAAGCTTTCTCGTCGGCAAAAATTGATCCTGTTGTAACTAACTCCATAAGTGGTCCATCACCAATTACGTCAACAGTTATGAATTCGCCTTGAAGTTACCAGTTTGTTCATCCTCAAGGTCAAGTTAACTCCTTCTGTGAAGGGTGGGAAAAGGTTGCTTCATCATTAGAAAGGTGTATGGACAAGTTAACAGAAGCCAACTTAGAACAAAGTACTGTGAGCAAAGAACTGTTTGTTTCTGGACAACTTCCAAAACTGACCATTCCAGTATTTGAAGGAGACCCCCTGCAATATCCTGTGTGGAAGAGTGCCTTTAATGCTCTAGTTGACTCTAGACCTCTGGCAGCAGACATCAAGCTGAATATGTTGAATCAGCATTTATCTGGAAAGCCAAAGCAAGTTGTGGAACATTATCTTCTGATTGGGACAGAAGATGCTTATCAGAAAGCTAGGTCTGTATTGCAGGAAAGGTATGGAAACTGTAATGTTGTGAGTACATCATTTATTAACAAGTTGGAGAAGTGGCCTAAGATAGGACCCAAGGATGCCACTGCCTTAAGGGAGTCCTCAGATATGTTAGACAAGCTATTAGCAGCAAAGAACACCATTCCACGTCTTTCTGTACTGGACTATGCAAAGGAGAATGTAAAGTTACCATCCAAGTTACCCTACTACCTTGAAACCAAGTGGAGAGATGCAATTAAACAATGGAGACATACCTATGGTGAAGCCAGTTACCCTACCTTTGCTAAGTTTGCAGATTTCATCAGAGAAGCAGCAGAAAAGGCAAACATCCCAGAGTTGGAAGGCCTCGCCCCATCAAGTAGTCCAAGATTTAACAGAAATCCGAAGCTGAAACCAGATAATGAGAAGGGTAGTTCGCTTTCTACATCAGCTAAGGGTGGTGGTAACAGTAAATCAGACCCCACTAATTCTAATTCTAATTCTAGTTGCGTGCGTCTTATTTTCGCTTTGCTCGTTTTTTTAAAATACGCCCGCACTATACTATCTGAGAGCCTGGTACAGGCTAGCTATAATATACTAATACTTATTAATGAGTGTACCCCGTTCGTTATTAATACTCCCTCCACGCAAACAGTATTTAATACATTTTAAATGCAGTATTAGAGAAGAGAAGGTGTCGTCATTAATCGTAACCAAATCGTTTGCTACAAATATTCGCAAAGTGATTGCCTCAACTGTCGTCCGTTCGTGTTAGTGATTGGTGTTTCCTTTGGGTGTAATATAATCCTGTAGGTGTAATGTAATAATGTGTAATATCGGTTTATAAACTCATACTGAACGCAAAAGCTTCTTCTCTTTGACTAATTATCGCAAGAGCTAAGGGAAGTTTAAGAAAAAGATAAGCTCGCAGCCTTCTTTCTTTAATTTATATCCTTACCGTGTACATCAAGAAATACTCGACTGTCCAAGTCCATCTCTTTATTTGTGAACCCGACGTGTAATTCGTAGTCCCCCTCATCGTTTGTATTGACTTTAAAAAGTTTGAAAGTAAATCTTTCAATGGGATATTTTTCTCTCTCATTCCTCCTCACGTTGGACACAAACAAACGCTCGGCATACTCCGGAATAGTGGTATTTACATTGTCCTGAAATTTCCACAGGATTCGCGGCTTAGTCTGCGGATTTGACCATTTGCTAAATTGGACAATTTTTACATCCCCACCATTAGCAACACTAGTATCGTACTGGTATTCCCATTCAAATTCAGCTATCTGTCCAACTATACCAACTCTTGCTAAAGGAACATGTAAAAATGCTGATCCTATTCCATCCAACGATGATTTCTGTGGAGGAAGGTGTTTTCGGTTATGCATTTTGACTACATTTGCTCATTGTTAGTTTTTTGTTGTTCGTAAATTGTCACATTGGTAATTGCTGCAAAGAAAAACATTTGCAGTATAGGGGCGCCTGACATGAGTATTGTTGAGCATACTGGAACACAGCAATGCTTAGAACAGTAATGTACACAAACTATTCTGAAGAAACGAACCGGGTTACTTCTTATGGATTTCATGAACGCAAAACGCTGGATCTGCCAGAGGTATGTATAAATGAAATGACTCGCTAAAATGCAGGTTCGTGCGTTCTGCGCATGATCGTGTTACATTAGTTATGCTGATTATCAACCGAGGAAAATTATTTACTTTTTTTTTAAGGGTAAAGCCTTCATCCTCTTAAACCCTCTGGAATAGTGCTTTGTTCAATAAACTGTAACTGTAAAGAGAGTTTTCAAGTTTAGGATAGGTCATAGCTAATGTTTAGGTGCTGTATTTCCCTCTTTTCTTCTATAACGTCGTTTACGTTGTTTGTAAATTGTAAATTACTTTCCTTTCATTTACTGAATTCAGCTACATTAGCAATTTCTCCTTGAATTGGCAGGTATTCTTAGGCTTGACAAATTACATAAGTCTCCGGGCGCCTGTCTTTGAGTCTAATAATACTGTTAGGCCCCCCTAGGCCAAATGTCAAACTTTTCATGAGATGAACCAAACTTGGTGGGTTAAGTTCATGAAAAGATCAACGTCTGGCTCAGTTAAGTTCGTCTGAATGAGATGGTTATACGTTTGGATCGTCCAACACGTTCAATCCGTCTGCTTCTGACAGATAGAAGGTCTGAATATCCTCTCCGAGACAAAAGTCGACCTTCATTTGCGATAAACTAAACTAACAAATTAAAAATTTGTACGATAATGTATATTTAGCCTTTTTAGGAGAAAATTTATTAAAATTGCTTTTTGGTCTGATTCAGTTGAGTGGTTCGACGCGTACAAAGTTCGACGTCTGACCCAAACAGAC